AGTCTTTCGTTGTCAAAAAAAAAAAAAAAAGCACCAGCCAGCTTGAGTAATAGATCAGTCTTTCTAAAGACACCTACAAGGAGGCCAAAACTTATCAACTGGGTTTTTTTATCGTGTATGGTTCAGTGGTTCTTTCATTCTACTTCTTTTTGTTAAAATCCAAATCTTTCTTTTGTTAGTTTTTTTGGCGATTGTTTTAGATCAAAGATGTAATTCTTATGAAATGCCAAGTATGGTAAGAGTACAAAGAACTCTGCAATAAACATTTTTTTTTTGATCAAAGAACTCTTCAATAAACTGACATGGTGGAATTGAGACAAAACATTTCTCACGATAATAATATGACCATGTTCTGCATATTACAATTCCAAACTATATCACAAATAATTTGTCAACATGATTTATTCACTGAGCTAGTTTGTGTCTTTGTCCTCTCTAGTGTGCCCAAAGCCTTAATTACCATTTTCATCGTCTTCTTTAACTTCTTTACCATCTTCCTCTCTCTTTCTGGCAAGTCTGCCAAACACAACATCATGGACTTCTTCAAGAAGCTTAGTACCTTGCACATTCTCTGTCACAGGCTCACATACCCAAGTTTTCTTGCACCATCTTTTGATGTAATTTTGGTAGACATTGGGAACATGAGCCTCTTCAATGCTGCCATTTCATCTTCTACCTCCTCCACATCTACCATCTTGTCTTTTTTTTTTCGTCGTGTTCTGTAGCAAAATGAAATGAGTCTAAAACAAAAATATCAAATGCGGTGACGTCAGTCAGCTTCCAACTTTCAAAAGTACAACAAATGGATATTTAGAATTGACCAAAAAAGTTGCTTGTGAGCTGAAAACGAAGGAAACCATCGCAAAAACAGATGACTGTAAGAGATTAGAGAGCAAACCTGAAACCTGCGGAGACGCTTCTCTTGATCTGAAGCATTTTCTAGGTGTCGTCTTTCCCACGTTGCACCTAAGACTCGTGCCACTTGGTGTTACAGAAACTTCCAAACCAACTTCTTCCTCTTATATAGTAACCAACCCCAAACTTATATAATAATCATACTGAACTATATATATATATCCCATTGTATACACTGAAACACTAAGTTGGATTCATTAGATTCTTTAATTCCAAGTGACAACAACAACAAAGGGAGGAAAAAAGATAGAGAGTCATATATTATAGTAAAATTTGTATACGTGCCTTGTTGTTTGTTTTTCTTGTTGGTTAACAGCTGCACCAACTTTTTATCTGGCCTCCTCTTCCACACATGCGTGATTCCACATACTATATATATGCAATGAGTAATGCTGCAACAATTCAGTCACAACACATAACGGAAAATTCATAAGGAACCAAATAAACCCATACAAACCAGCTATAGAAAAACGAAAAAAAAGAGTAACACAAACAATGAAAAGTTTCAAAACTTTTGTCTACTAAAAGCTGAATAAAATGAAACATTACCTTTTTCTAGAGGATCCTAAACGTTACCTTTTCCTCAAAAACAGAAACATAAAAAGCATTAAACCATTTGAAATCCTCGAATATTTGAATCTCAATAGTAACTCCTAACTGTTGTCAGTTAATGGGCGAACCATGGCTTGATTGCTGCATAGTTGATCTCGTTAGTGAGAAGACGAAAGATGACTCTCCTAGGGGCCTTGGAGTTGAGAGTAACGAAGTTATTAGAGAAGAGACAAAGATTGTTATCTGTGAGTTTGGGAACCACATCGTAGCTTCTTTCCATGAGCTTTGAATGTAGGTGGTTAGATGAACGCCAAGGCAGTAGAGACTGTTTGGCCCTCTCTCGGCAGCCATCTGGGCATACTTGGAGCTCTATGCGGTAACAGACACATCTGTCCTTCGAGCGACTGAATGGTGGCCTTGAGAATCATGATCATGGTGGCGTTGTCTCACTTGGGCGCATCCTATATTATAATGGCAAACTCATACTGATATCCTTCAGAGAATGAGACAGTGTCTGGTTTTTCATTCCAACCTTAAGCTCAAGAATAAAATTTCCGTCATCCTATACCCCAACTGAAAAGAACGTCAAAATAGAAAATAAATCAAATAAGGTTGGAGCTTTAGCTTATAATGAAACAAATAATATAGATAGACCTAGTTTAGACAAAAAACTAAACCCTGAAATCATCAAATTCCCTATGAGAAAGATTTTATAAGTCAAACTATTGACCAAATCAGATTGTAGTGAAAATGCTTTAGTTATTGAATTCTAGAGAGGACAGGTAAAGAGCTTATGGTTATTTCACAATCATTAGACAGAGGCTGAGAATAACTTTCGTAAAAAAAAAGGAGGTTATATCCAGAGATTTGTCTAAAACTTACTCATAAAAAACATATTCGTCCTTGGGGTGCTCCTTCAAAGTGGCACAATAATCTTCTGTCCGGGTATTAACCAAAATACTGCGGCAGTTGTAAAATCAAAAAAGTAAAGAGCTAAAAATCGCCATAGCCTGAGATTCTTGAAATGAGGTTTTTGAGTTTGGTTCAAAGTAAATTTCTACGAAGATATGGGAGCATTTTATATATGAGGAGAAAGAGAGGAAGGTAAAATGAAACAATGAAGATGAGATTTAATAGCGTCATTGATTGATGAAGAGAAAGATGCAGTAACAGAGTTACTCGCAGTCGGTGAAGCTCAAGCTTAAGAGTCGGGATTGGTAAGATGAGTTCCACACTTCACATGAAATTGTTAGGCTAAGCATTAATGGGTTTGAACTGGCTGTCTTTAAATTTGTAGTCTATCTCTGGACAGCCCAAATAAAGATCCAATTTCTTTCTTCTTTGGACACAAACAGTTATGACGTGGATGATTCAAGTAATCTTATTGGTCGATTTAAAGCCGATGTGGTATAGCTAAGAGGGTTTGATATTACTCTTTTATTATTGTTAGATTATGTCCAGTCTTATAATAAACCCAACCAACTGAATTTGCATTGAAAAAGAAGAAACTATATTTGATATGCAACCACCAGAAGAACAACTGTTTATATAATTGAATTTGTAAACAATAATAATTCAAAAATCGGGACACTGTAGCGGTTTTGGTCAATTTTATTGGATCACACAAATCCAATTCTAGAAGAAAAAAAAAACCCGGATTTACCTAAGTAAAGGAGTAACCAGTCCAACCGGTTGGTCCATTTTTTAAACGATTCATATTATTTTGTTGCTTTAGTATCCGAGAACTATATACTAACACAATATAAAAACTGTTAAAACCATAATCAATCTTAATTTAATCCTTAAAAATATATGTGTGATTGTACAGATCAAATTCTATTTGCTGATTAAATCTGTTCGGCCTCAAAGGTCAGTTCCAAAAATGGTTAGATAGATGAAGTGATAAAAGCATTGTTTATATACTTATTGGTTTGACAGCCTATGCGATCGCGCATGCAATTTGTTTCTTGTTGTTGCATCGATATATAAATAGGATTTTAATTTAATTGCTGAAAAGTATAATGATTAAATTTAAAATTTATGTAATATTTATATAATAATTGAGATTGGTGGTATGATGTGGTGGCAACAAAAATGAAAAGATATTAATTACAGTTTCATATTGCAATGTTTATATGGTGACATATAAACGAACAATCCTTTTTTTTATTGTGAGTTTTTTTCTTCTTAAGTTTTCGTTCAATCCACAGCTTAAACTTCTGATTTATTAAAAGAATAGTAAATTTGATAATCCAAATAAAAATTTAATATTTAGTTGATAAGTAAATATAGGGTTGGACCACTAGCCGTTAATTTTAACATCTTTATGTTTTACAAAGCGTATGTTATGATATGTTTAATGTTGCATGTATAGTTTTCAAAGATGTACGAGTCTCATATGATTAACAGACCAGTTTCCAAAATGTATTTTGAAAAACAATAATATGATTGAGGGAAGTTGCATATACAAATTTATTGAAAATATTGAGAATATATTGAGTAATCAAGTACAAATCAACTGATAATGCTATTGGTATTCGAAACCGAACTTATTTCAAGTTTAGTCGGATCTTGGACATGTAACTTCATGCCCAACTAAATCTGAACCAAACCGATTCAAAATTTTATAATATCTGAATAGAACTAAAATTCATAAACACGAAAATATGAAATCTGAATGAGCCCTAACTGAACTTGATTGAAACCTAATTGTCCAGTCTAAATAAAAGTTGAGGGTTGAAATCCGAATCGAATCCGATTAAAAATACCCTAATGATTTTTTATGGTGTTACAAAACACATTTGAACACAAAATGGTATTAACGAAACCCAAAAACCCTGAAAGGGTAATCCGGACAGAAAAATCAAAACCCCCAAAAAAATATCCATGGAAACCGATTCGAATGTCTAAATTAATATATACTGTAGATATATTTGAAACATTAATATGTATTTCAAATATTTAATTTCATATTTATTTTGATATGATATCTAATAATAACTATATAAACTTTACATAAGTACTTTAAATACCTAGTTCTATATAATAACTATAACTTTTTATGTTTTGTTTTTAAATTTTAGATTTTTTTCGAGGTATATACGAACCAAACCAATATAACATGAATCCGAATGGTATATGGTTATTTTATGGATTATAGGATGTCATACAAAATTCATCTGAAACCGATGTGCTATATATCCGCCTGATTCATACTTACAAATTTATTAGTATGAGATCTAGGATGTATTACAAAACAGAACTAAAATTTAAAATATCTGATCCATATCCGAACGGATACCCAAACATCCAAGCTTAGTAAAAGTGTTAAAATAGTAACGAATCTCGTGGAAAATATTTGAGATTGCTAAATATTTTATGGGAATAAATGCAATTGTTGTTTTTTTCTGATCATAGTTCCGTGTATGTTAGTCTCCTTGGGTCAAAGAAATATGTTATCATCATAGAAATGACGGAAATGAAAGATATAGAAAAGGTAAGAAATCGGCCAAACTTAAATTCTAAAACATAAGTAAATAAAATGATAATAAAGTTGGAAAGGTGTGATGAACCTATCTCTAAGGCTTCACATTTTCGTGATGTCTCAGATCACATATAGTGGAAGGTCGGTGCGAGCTCTCAGCATCTCTCTTTCAATTATTTGTGCCTATAAAAGGGCAGTCTCCTCTGCATCATTCTTTGCTTCTGTGGCTTACAAAGAGCAGACACTTAAATTAAGACTACTCTCATCAAGGCATTACTAGAAGAAAAATGGTTTGGATAATCTTTTTCTTCTCGTTTCTAAATTAATGGTTTGTAAGCTTTTGAACTGGAGACTCATGTGGTGGTTTTCAGGAGAGCAAAGGGAGTTGGACGGTGGCTGATGCCGTAGACTACAACGGCCTACCCGCCGATAAGTCCAAAACCGGTGGCTGGATCACCGCAGCTCTCATTCTTGGTTCGACTTCTTCTCCTCTGTTTTCTTTATTATTATTAAGTTCTGGAGCTAGTTAATCTTCTTCTCTACGTTAAAGAAACATATATGCATAAGAAGATGTACTATTTACATCCAAACATATTTCCCCTGTACTTTACCTATACATATATGCAAGCAGATATACTATTTGTCCAGTTATACATAGAGATATATTCATATGGCGTTACGATCAAGAAAAGTCTTCGTCAGATTAACTCATTTATGACTAGCTAGAAACTAATTCTTCAATGCTTTAGCAACAAGAAAAATACTAAATCTTCACTGCATAGTTATTACACATTTTTAACTCAACAAGTTTTCATCTACACATGCACAATTGTTATTATTTAGTATATATGGTAAAATGAAGTATGAAACATATGTCTCGCACATATTGGTAGAGGGTGGTAGATATGTATACGTAGTTGATTAAATTTTGTCACGAGGGTGGTAGTTCATGCGTATAAGTTTTTATCTCCACAAGTGTAAACATATGGTCAAGAACAAAAGAGTTCATCTCAAATCAGTCACAATCACACATGATATGATAGAAATAAGTCTTTTTCTGTATAAAAATATGATATGTCGTTGTTCTGAATCACGCTGAGTGCAGGAAAGATAAAGAGAAAAGAGACACGCCACATGGCTCTCCCCATCTTTACTCATCCAATCATATACTCCAATAATAATTTTCTTTCTGAAATAATACTAAAATTAAAATTAGAGAGGGAAAAAAAAATGAAAATTAGATATCAGGATTCACGTGCTTACTTTGGATTTATAAAAACGCCGACCTCTTACCCTCTTGTTTTGTTTCTTAATATTCTACAGGTAGTACCATTTGTCTTAGTTATAATTGTCCGGATAATCCAAATTTGGTTTCGTTGCTTTCTGAGACAACACATTTCCATTGGTTCCTTACTTTTGTAGTGACAAATAAATTGAACTTTTACAGCCACGACTCATTCTTGAATATAATGATGCCACAATCTCATTTTTGCTTTGCGTTACAAGAATAAATCTATTCATGGTTGGAGTCCGAAAATTCTATGGATTGGTAGTGTCATTACAATCTTTGTAATAATTACCTTTCGACAATCAAATTTGTTTATGGCTCCTTAGAGATGTGAGCTTCAGACATTATTGAAGTTCTAATATGTATCTGCAATAAACCCAATAAGGCGAATCCGGGTTCAAACCCCACTAGCCACACGGATATGGGTTATTGCTTTCGACCCATTTGAATGTCCAGGAGAGAGTCTATCCGTGGGCTGTACCTCCACCCGGGAGTTAGGTCTGTGTCTTTAATAGACCCGGGTTTAACCCTTTTTAAGTTACAAAAAAAATAAAATTATTGTCACTTTACCCTTATTTTGGTATATATCATTGAGTCATCCTCTACTTGGATCTGGGTCGTGAAAACCGGAAAAATTCAACATTAGTAGAATATTATTCTTATATGTAAAATGGACTGACTAGTATAATCTTGGAACATAGAGCTGACAGATTATTTTTCTTAACAATATTGCAGGGATAGAAGTTGTTGAGAGGCTATCAACAATGGGAATAGCAGTGAATTTGGTAACATATCTGATGGAGACAATGCATCTCCCAAGCTCAACCTCTGCCAACATTGTCACTGACTTTATGGGCACTTCTTTCCTCCTCTGCTTGCTCGGTGGCTTTCTAGCTGACTCCTTCCTCGGCCGTTTCAAAACCATCGCTATTTTCTCAACCATTCAAGCTTTGGTAAGACTCCGAGACAAACTATTTTGGTTAATAAAAAAAACTATATTGGTTAATATATATATATATATATGATTTTTTAAAATCACACATATATATATATATATATATATCATTATGGTCAATAACTAAATTCTTTAAAAGGATGGATACGTTTTTTGTGACAAAAAAAGGATGGATACGTTTTTACTCCCTGTTATTATAAAATAAATCGGAGTATAAGGCTCAATGGGGTTTTAGCAAGTTGAACAGTTGGCGAAAAAACTCCGATTGAAAATCAAGTTTTTCGTTTCAGAAATATATACAAAGCCCATAATTCTACCATGAACAAATAAATATTTTTTGTCAACATTATTTTGGTCAACAACAAAGAAACTAATTAAATATACCTTCAGTATAAAATTATGACACCGTTTTCGACTGAAATCATATTTGAAACAAAAAGAAATCATGTTTGATATTTGAATCTGGAAAGGACTTCATAATCAAAAGTTTGAAAACGGTTTTGATATCTTGTATAAATTATATATAGGGAACCGGTGCACTGGCAGTGGCAACAAAGCTTCCAGAGCTGCGTCCGCCAACATGCCACCACGGCGAAGCCTGTACACCCGCCACTGCTTTCCAAATGACATTTCTCTACATTGCACTTTACCTTATAGCGCTTGGAACCGGTGGCCTTAAGTCTAGCATCTCAGGGTTTGGATCTGACCAATTTGATGACAAGGATCCTAAAGAAAAAGCCCAGATGGCTTACTTCTTCAACAGGTTAGGCTAAGTCTCTTTTTATATTTTATTGGAAAAGTAACATTATGTACCGTTGTTGTTCATTTTTTTAAAAATGGATTTGGTATGTGCAGGTTCTTCTTCATCATCAGCATGGGGACATTGATGGCTGTGACTGTTTTGGTTTACATACAAGATGAAGTGGGAAGATCATGGGCTTATGGGATCTGCACTGTGTCTATGGCTATAGCTATTGCGGTTTTCTTGTCTGGCACTAAGAGTTACCGCTATAAGAAGAGCCAAGGAAGTCCGGTTGTGCAAATTTTTCAAATTATTGCAGCTGCGATTAGGAAGAGAAAAATGGAACTGCCTCAAAGCATTGTCTATCTGTATGAAGATTCTCCGGAGGGCTTGAGAATTGAACATACTGATCAATTTCGGTAAGCTATTCTATTTAATTTTGACAAACAAAAAAAGTAAAACTAAAGCAGAATTCCAGCTTTAGTAATGATAAAGGATCTTCGTTAGAGAGTGCACCATAAGGTCTAAGGTTGGAGTCTCGCCCTTAGGGAGATGCCTATAATTAGTAATTAACTTGCTCTAGTTCCTGGTCCGAGGAGACTTAGACCTAAGGAAATTCTAAATTAGACTATATTTTTTTTTTTAAATATAAAATCTCTTGTGCGCAGCATGTTTGACAAAGCGGCTATTGCTACCGAAGGAGATTTCGAACAAACCCTAGGCGGCATCGCAATTCCAAACCCTTGGAAGCTAAGCTCCGTGACCAAAGTTGAGGAAGTGAAAATGATGGTTAGGCTTTTGCCTATTTGGGCAACCACTATAATTTTCTGGACAACATATGCCCAAATGATTACATTCTCAGTTGAGCAAGCTTCAACCATGAGACGCAACATTGGAAACTTCCAGATCCCAGCAGGCTCTCTCACCGTGTTTTTTGTCGCAGCTATTCTCATATCTCTAGCTGTCTACGACCGTGTTATCATGCCTCTTTGGAAGAAATGGAAAGGAAAGCCAGGTGACATAAGTTGCATATAACATATATATATAATTCTCTAAAATGGGAAATAGTCTAATTCTTTCAATTTATGCTTTTTTAGGATTTTGATGTTAAGTTTTAAACATTTGATGATTTAAAAATAAATTTTAACTTGAATATTATTTTGTCAATTTTGGTATAATATATGACATATTTATCTAAAGTCTGTTTATTTACTAATTTTGTATTAACATTTCAGGATTCTCTAGCCTGCAAAGAATAGCTATTGGATTGGTCCTATCAACCGCTGGAATGGCAGCTGCAGCCATAGTTGAGCAAAAGCGTCTATCTGTTGCGAAATCTAGTACACAGAAAACATTACCCATAAGTGTATTCCTACTTGTTCCACAATTCTTCCTAGTAGGAGCTGGGGAAGCCTTTATATACACTGGTCAACTTGATTTCTTCATAACCCAGTCACCCAAGGGGATGAAAACAATGAGCACTGGACTTTTCTTGACCACTTTGTCACTAGGCTTCTTCGTCAGCAGTTTCTTGGTTTCCATCGTCAAAAAAGTCACTGCAACTTCTGTGGATGGAGGATGGTTGGCTGATAACATCAACCATGGCCGGCTCGATCGATTTTATTGGCTTTTAGTCATTCTGAGTGGAATAAACTTTGTTGTTTATGTCATATGTGCCTTATGGTTCAAGCCAACAAAGGGTAAAGACTCGGAGGAGATGGAAAAGGGTAAGGGTTTTTCAGTTGAAGACTGCTAGTTTTCTTTTTCTGTCAAGTTTCTTGTGTATCATATTATCATGAAACAGAGTCTTCCCCATCATGTTTCTTGTGAACCAAGTAACTGAGCTGTGTGACTTATGTCTAAATTCCTAGTTGTCTCAAATATTGTACCTTCACTAGTTACGTTTGTTACCGTTTCTCACTTGTCTCGTATCGAAAAGAGAAGATCTATTTTAAATTAATTAAGCTCACACGTGCAGCACTATCTCTTCTTTACTTGATGCGCTAGTCTTTGTCATATTTTTGATGACTGGTAGAGAAAAGATAAAAGTGATGCGAGATAAAAATTAAAAGATAATATTGTTGCTCCTTCATAAGAGCAACATTATAGGAAAGACCCAAATTGTGTCCTTAACATATTAAATGATTACTTTTATGTCTAACGACAAAGCTAAGGACTTTTCAAATTTTATAGATTATTGGTAAGACTTTTTTGAATCCTTAACATTTTAATTGTTTATTTTAATAACTATAATAACATGTAAAAGATAAGTTTTATATGAAACATATAACATTAAACATTGAAAGCATAAAAGAAAATTACAAAGTTCATGAAAGGTGAACTACTTGAGACTGTAAAGTGATCACTACTGAACTGCTCAAATAGCTGGTAAAGATCTTCTGCTGAGTTCTGCATAAGGAAGTCAAGTTCTAAGTAAGTGTGAACTTCCACTAATTAACTCGCCAAAAATTCACATCCATTAACCTGATAGAATGCTACAATATCAGTTGTTTCCTTATTATACACCGCGAAGAAAGCCGGAAGATGATCAGCATTTCTTCCTACCTGAGGTTATCCATCAACATCACAAATCTATTCAGTCGAATTGTCAACTCTACATATGGTCAAAAGCAGTTCTATTCAACCTAAAATCTGTATATAGAAAGTTCACCCCACCATCTACACTGCCAAATTTGATCAAGAGGTGATGTCGATCCAAGAACTAAACCTGAGCATCAAGAATAGCCACAAGGTTAGACGTTTTCCATTATCAACTCGTAAAAAAACTTGAAACAAAGTCCAGTAAGTAGAGCATGGACATGTAATTACCTTCTAGATAATCAAATCCACATAATCCTGGAAATGGAAATAAAACTTTTTCTTCAGACTTTGAACTCTCTGCCAAATCACAATGTGTCTTTTTGATCAGTTCAATCCAAGATAGATAATGCAAAATCAACTAAGTACCAAAAAGCCTTAAACCTACCAAAGTAAGACAGTCGATGGTAGCGAGATGAAAAAGTAACAGAGACACAAACTCTATTCGTTGAAGGCACATGGATGTTAGCTAATTAAGAACAAAGATCATCTCAAGAAAAACAAACCATTGTGTTATCAGATTCTTCATTCCAAATATCTTTAAAGATAAAGGAAAGTAGCCGTTGCTTGATGCCACTAAGAAACGAATTCTCAGCATCTGGTTGCCTACGGTGCAAACCATTCTCCGCATCATCTTCCCTCTTCCGATGCTTGTTCTTATCTTGAGTCGTCATCATCGCCTAACATCAAAACAATCTCAATTTCTTTAATTGAGAACGGAGACTGTAACTAAATTTTTTTCTCCTCGCCTGAGAATTAGAATTGAGGAAAAGCTCATCGTCTTAACGACAAAAGTAGCCAATGGCACGAGCATTAACGAGATGCCCCGAATCCCTAATCTGAAGAAGATGAATCTTCTGATACCTCAACGAAAGAATCACGAGAAGGTCATCATACATAAAAACACCCATGTTATAAGCCAAATTAACGAAATCATGAAGAAACTCCCTCTCATCCAAGACCACACCATCGTCCAACCGAAGCAACATGAAAGTGATCTTATCAATCGAAGGAGCACCAGGAACGGCGCCAGGACAAAGTTCATGAAAACATAAAAGAAAACCAGAGTTCAATCACGTGTCTATCTCTCTCTCATTCGGTCTTCCTCTCCTTCGATGACACATGCCCTTAAGGACGTGAATAAAACGCCTCCTAATTAACATACATTTTCCCCGTCTCCTACTCATTTTGGTTTAAAAAAATGATAATTAATTGTTAAGTGATGCACTAAGGACACCGTTAATGTTGCTCTAATATTTCAAAGTCGGATAGGGCTTTACGCCGGGGGCATAATTGTAAGACCGTCAGATATATAAAGAGTGGAGATGAGATAAAAAAACACATTCACAATCATTTAGGGAACATGTCAATTGTTTACCAACGTGACAATTCAGCAAACTGAGAAGTTTCGAGTCTCTTCCTACTCTAGAGACTCTGATCCTAGTGATCTCATTACGACCTTCAACATCGCCATGAGACGATCACACTTCACTTACGAGGAGAAGGACACTGGATATGGTCAGCTTTTTAATAGAAAGTCTTAGCAGACCGGTCCTAACTTGGTTCTCAAAATTTGCCGATCACTATATCAATAATTATCTCGACCTATCAACTTAATTCTTAAAATTCTATATGATGTTTATCAGGAAATGAGCTTTTCCATAACATATTTGCTGAAGATGTCTCAAGGTCCAAATCAAACCTAAAGGGGTTCATGGAAAAAATCTAACATGTGGTTTTCAGTGTACATGTCCTAGACAGTTCCGTTGTTGAAGCACTGGATGACACACTTTGGGTTAACTACAAGATCCGCAAGACCTAAGTAAATCCAACCACAAGTCTCCATGATGCCCTCCACCACTCATACAACTTCATTGCCATGGAGGAGGATAAACAAGCTGTTTAGGTATTTTTTGGTGAGGGTCTTTAGAGTACTACAGAATAATAGAAGAGGCGATAAGAAGTTTTTGATACCGAGAGTTTGTAAGATATTGAGACAAAGATACATATTATTGATTCTTTGAGAAAGGAGTACAATGTTGGTGTATAAACCCTAATTCTAGTCGTAGAACTCTAGTCTCTAAGTCTCTAAAAGTCGATCCCTTGTTCTAGTGTATGTGCTCTCCTTATATAGTTCTTAGGAAGTCGGCCAAGCTAGGTTAAACTCTTCCACATTCGGAAATATGGAAGAATTCCCCTTTGTAGAAAACTTCCATTTTGCCCAGAGGCAGGTGACGGAAGCAGGTGCTGGAACCTGGACAAGGGCTGGAACCGGGATCCTTCTTGGCAAGGGTCTGGATCCTTCTCGGCAGGGGCCTGAAGACCGGTATCCGGCCCAGAGCCTGGTGAGTTATCATACCGAAGTATTTTTCCCCAACAATTTGTCTCTTATGCCTTGATTTCATCATCGAATTTGGGGGATAACCCGTGCACTTAAGTCAACCGGACTTGCTTTATCTCAGCATCCCCCCCCCCTTAGGCAGGATATCGCTCCAATTCAATGCTTCCCATGATTTTCTTAGGCCTGAGCCGTGTTCAAGCCTGGGGAAGGAATTGGCCCTCCTTTAGATAAGCCCGAGCCTGTGATAGACGCTGGACCTGTCTGGCGTTGGTCTTGCAAGGTCAGGACCTTGGTCTTGTGTCGAGGTGCGTGACGGATCTAACGTCCGTTTAATCATTCCCGAATCTTAGGGATTTTTTCCCTTTTCCTTAGGGGACTCTTTTTTAATTCGTTTCTTCCTTGTTTCCAAAAGAGGGGAATTCAAATTTTGAATTTATTCCTTGATCTTCATGATTTTTAGTCGAGCGGCTTCCCCGAGAAGATATATATCGGCCTTCTCTTTATATGTTTTTTGTCCTTTTCTCCCATCTTCAGATCGCTTTTCGCTCACCGTCCATGAACGTAAGGTATTGTTACTAATCTTTTCTTGTTTTTATGGTCTCAAATGGGCAACTTTGCGCGGATTATTCCTCTTATTCCTCGCTTTTGCCTTAGAAAACTTCTAGACTTGTCGAAACGTTCTTCTTATTCCATTCCTCCGTGAGTTTAGAGGATGAAATCACAACGAATGAAATCACGCGTTCTTCTTATTCCATTCCTCCATGCGTTGAGAGGATGAAATCACAAAGAAGGGTGGATTCACCCTTTTCTAATTCAGACAGCTCCTCATATCCACTAGAGCTCGATCTTCTCAACCCTCTTCCTTTATCATTCATACACATGACTCCGATCTTGGTGGGGCCAGCTTTGTCGGTGCATGAGAACGAGCTCGCAGGCTGGCGAGTAAAGTATTCTCTCCCTTCCTCCATCATCCTCTGGGTTCCTAATTCCCCGCAGCGTGCCTCCAGCTACATATCTAGGGAGAAGGCCGTGTACAAAGCCCTTTTTGACTCATGCTTTCGGGGGAAGATAAGAAGGATCCCCTACTAAGAAGGATCCAGGTCCCTCTCGGAAAGATCCAGGTCCTGTTTGAAAGAGATCCATGAACCAGCCCTTGTTCAGAATCTCGGCCCCTACTTTCATCACCTACCCCTGGATAAAATGGAAATTTTCTACTAAAGGCGATTCTTCCATATTTCCAAATATGGAAGAGCTTAACCTACTTTGGCCGACATCTCCAAGATTATATAAGGGGAAACCACAGTTTGGCGCTAGAAGGCGATTCTTCCAGGTCCTTTTTTTACGATTTATTTGACAGTAGGGTGAAATCGACTCCCACAGTTTGGCGCTAGAAGGAGGGGGGGTCGGATCTATCTTACACCGTAACCGCAACATGCCCAACGAAGAAACGATGACTGGTGACAACCAAACTCGCGACGAACGCGACAACGTTGAAACACCACTACCAAAAGACGCGCCTGCGGCCAACGCTACA